TATTGCAAACAGACTGTTCCACTTTACTGTTTGGGATGATGGGGATTGGGACTGCACTGCACCATTGAGGGTAGGAGATCCAAGGTCAGGAAACAAGGCTGTCCCGCAATACCAACTTATAGTCTGTGTTCTATACAATAGTACATTTAGGTACTCTATGGGACTATCATGCCTTCTTCTAAAGCATCCAGAATACACCAATGTCAAAGACAAGACATCAAATGAGACGGACCATTGGGCTGTTCTGATATCGCAATTCCTATGTTTCTACCTTTTTAACAACGGATCAGAAGCTAACTGGGACTCATTCGTGATACTGTGTTAAATGTCAAATTAAACCGGTATCAGGAAGCTCAAGAAGGGAAAATCTTATTATTAAGCTCCTTTCACATTCACTACGGGTCTACAAAAGGAAACTCTAACTCCTTTCACAAGCTTAAACCATGACTTCTGAGATCATTGCAAAGTTAGCCTCAAATAGAAGCCACGCTCTTCCGATAAGAGGCTGTAACTTATGCATCTCTAGAGACCCCATATGGAGGCAGAGAAAATAACAGCCTCCCCCAAACAGTGGAAGTTATTTGTAAAAGAGCTGCTGTGTCCTGTTTCACTGCATTTTGTTCAAACAATGGACACTTTCAGGAAGAGGAGGATGAACAGTTAAATCCTCAGGATTGGTTTTATCCTCTCTGCTTCTCTTTTTTTTTCTATTGTGACATTTTCTCAGCAAAGAAAGAAAAATTGAACTCAGTGCTCAGTCTTCTTCTTCCTATTATTATTATTGATATTGTAGTAGCTCCTAAAGGCAAGGGGAATATAGTGATTGGTATGCCCTATGGAAGCCCAACAGGACGTTTTGGTGGCCTCACTCAACCCTGTAGTTGCCCAAGAGATGTGGGTCGCTCCCTTTGAGTCCGATGCTGCAAGGTGCTGAGCACTTCCTGCGAGGTGCAAATGGCCTCAGCTCCCATGGAAGCTCAGTGGGAGACAGAAGGTGCCTATGCACATCTCAGGATTCGTCCCGGTCTCTCTCTTTTTCAATCCCTCCAGCTCTCCTTTGCTGTTCTGTAAACCTATCTCCTCTCCCTTCTTTGAGCTCCCGCCTCCCCACTTCAAGGCCAGGTTTAGCCTGCCCTGTAACCTCTCTAGAGGATATGTGCTGTCTTAAATAGTGATAGGTACTATTTTCTGTATTGCTCCTCCCCGCATGATACAGACATGTGTAATCACAATAACAGGGAGGGGAGAAAAACACCTTGGGCTCGATTCCCTACTCCATTCTACCTGTCTTACAGCAGCATCACACCCTGGATTCCAGAGGAGTTGCCGCCATGTAAAACTAGCGCAACAGAGAGGAAAAATCAGGCTCCCTATTTCCTTTTTTTGGGATTACTTTTTAAACATTTAGGTGCATGATCTATGAGCTGCTAAATGCTGTCCTCTCAAACACAACTCTGCCTCTGGCATGGGTAACTGTTTTCAGTGCTTTCTAAACAAAGAATGGGAGGCAGAAATCATTACTAAGTTTATCACAAAAACAAATTAGACTTGCACAGGTTGATCTGAGAAAGGAATGGTCTGAAGAACTTTCCTACCGGACGGACTCATTCATCAGTAAGAAAAGGAAAGATACTGAACAGTGTGTGTTACGTTGCAAGATATTATTGAGGTAAATAACTTAGTAGATTTGAGAGGAAGGATGGTCCACTGGTTAAGGCACTAGACAAGAACTTGGGAAACCTTGCTCCACCACAGATTTCCTGTGTGATTCAGGCAAATCACATAGCGTCTCCATGCACCAGTTCCCCATCTGTAAAAGGGAGATAATAGCATTTCCCTACTTCAAAGGGGTGTTGTGCGGATAAATGCATTGAAGATTGTGAAGTGCTCAGATACTATGGTGATGGGGGGAGGGGACACAATAAGAACCTAAGATGGACAGATTTCAAAAAACAAGATTAGCCATTTATATGAATGGAAATAACATTCTGCAGTTGCGCTAGCCAAGATAAAAGTTAGAAGGGTGCTCAATCCTCATGTGTGTATAAATTGTTCATCAGGTAGAGGTCAGAATGAAATATCGCCCCATGGCTTAGTACAAACATAAATTATGCACATGCAGTATGATGTTTTTCCTTCTTTTACAGCATGTAGTAGTGGCCCAGCTCAGAGACAGAACAGTGGACCAGAGACTGCTAGTCTGTTTCTTTGTATTTAACATGTTTATTATGGTAGTGCCTAAGCTTTAGGGCAATTCTTTTTAAAAGTATGATGTTTCTCCTTTGGAGAAGAATAAAGGAAAGATTAACAGTACAATGATTATATAATTTTTTTCATTATGGATGCAAAGCAAACTGGAATAACAAGTCAGAACCAAGAAGAACAGGAAATGACACTCAGGCTGAAATCAGGAATAAATCCTGTTCAATCATACAATATTCAGGTGGAGCAAATGTATTAAAAGATGTAAATGGACATGCCAGTGAATGTTAGAGAGACAAGGTGAGTGAGGTAATAGCTTTTATTGGACCAATGTCTGTTAGTGAGAAAGACAACTTTTCAAGCCATACAGAGCTCTTCTTCAGGTCTGAGAAATCTGTTCCACCTTGCATTTTGCTGGGACGCTGGGAGTACCTTTCCCAGACTTGAAGAAGAGCTGTGTGGGGCTTGAAAGCTTGTCTCTCTCACCAACAGAAATGGGTCCAATAAAAGAGATTAACTCACCCACCTTATCTCTCTAATATCCTGGGACTAATACAGCTAAAAATGCACTGCATATCCCAGTGAATGTGCTAGATAAACATGAAAGGATAAGGAGAACAAAAGATGAGTACAAAAAGCATGCTTTAATGTAATGCGTCATCAGAGATGGGCATAATTTTTGTACGTGGGAAATAGCAGGGGGAAAACTGTTGGGCTCAGACAAAGAAATGCTAAAATAGCTAAGTGCATACTACTGCAGCCATGATTAATATATTAAATGCAGATGGGGGTCTCAATATGCAAACAACATGTATTACTGAAGTTTAAACAGTTAGGTAGCAAAAGGAAAGGCTGTCAAATAATGCTGTAATTTATGGGCCATTGTGATTGTTTTACTAGCCCTTAAATATACACTTTGGCTACCTTCATCAGAGAAGTGTGTCAATGGTCTACCATGAAAAGGCATTACAATTTTGGGCTGAACAGGAACAGAACTTTCTGACAGGCTGTTCCCAATGCCTACATCTAAATGTTCGGCGTCTATTAAAAAAAATAAATTGGGTAGGACTGGATTGGTCACGGAACTGATAAGAGGATACAGAGCCTCTCTCCTCTAGCCATTTCCATTGCAGGGACTTAACATAAAATATACTGAAGGCCTCAGCCCATTTTCTAATGGACAGATGCTCACATTCCTAAAAACATCTTAGATTAGAATAAAATAGAAACTACTGCCTCAAAAGCAAGGCCAAAAACTGAATGGTCATGAAGATAAACCATGGCTAGAGGAAAGGGGGGATTTCCAAAACAGGGCTGGGCAAAATGGGGAAGCATGCACTGATCCTACTCATGTTATACTCACAGCTGGTCCTAGAGACATGTGAGGCATCCACTGTTAGCGGACACTTTGGAAAACATTGGCCTAAGCAACCTGCCCAAAGCCAAAGAGGAAGTCAGTGTCAGAGCTTCGATTAGAACTCCCAGGAATTCCTGGCTCCCATTTCTGTGCTCAGATTGCATGATTATGCCTCTCTCCCTTTGTCTATCCACACCAACACAATCACAGGCTAATAATCAGGTTACAGTTTCAGACCTCCAGGACCTGATTATCCGAATTCAATCTCCACTTAGGCAGGTGCACACACTTGCATTCTTTGTGTATTAGTACCTGAACGAGCAAGTGACAGCATACATCACCCACGTATGTAGTCATTAGTTCATAAAATGTGCCTGTACAGGAACAAGGCCCCACTAAAAATTAGACCTTTATTGTCCACTGCTATATAAATTTAGTGGTCTCATTGGGATTGTTGCTGCTATTTACATAGTACCGCAGATGTATGTGGCAACTAACAATGGCTAGAATACATGCAAAGTCCCTCCCCAAAAGAATACAATATAGCAATGGGAGTAGTGCACAATGGAGTTGTGTGCGGGTGTTCATGCATGTAAGTACTGCAGAACACGTAGGTATTTAGGAATGATAGGAAGGAAGATGGGGTTGGCACTTAGCCAATGTTTGTTGTGACGCTGTTCCAAGCACAGAAGGCACAAAGTAGAGAGAGGGTACAGATGCTCTCATACCACGGTGATAAGTGCAGTACAAGAACCGAATTACAAAGCAGAACAGAAAAAAGGGTGTGGAGAGGGAACTGAACTAGGAGCAGGAAAACATGGATTCTATTCCCAGCCTTGCCAATGACCTGCTGTGTGACCCTGGCAAGTCCCTTCACCTCTCTGTGCCTCCGTTTCTCTTCCCACCCTTTGTCTGTCTTGTCTGTTTCGGATGTAAGCTCTTTAGAGCAGGGATTGTCTCTAGCTATGTGTCTGTACAGTGTCTACCCCAATAGGGCCTCTACGAGCTACTGTAACAAACACAGTAATAATAGGAGAGAGGCTTGGACAGACCAAAGAGAAGAGGGAATAGTACAGGAAGAACTGAGGTAGAGAAATACACAGGAGCAATGATATAAGAGTTTTGAAGGTGCTAATAAAACTGAGGAAGGGCAATTTAGAATAGAGTCCTAGTAGTTTCAAACAGTCAGTTTCATGGAAGATTTTATTCTATGGTGAAGTCCTAGCCCCACTGAAGTCAATGGCAATGACTTCAATGGGGCCAGAATTTCACCCCTGTAGGTATCGCACTATTGTTACAGGTTAACATGCTAGACATCTGATGCAAAAGAGTGAGAAAAAATGTCATGTAAAACATTGAACCTTTTATTAAGATCTACTCAGATCTTTACTTTTATGTCCATTGAGTATCATCAAAATATAAAAAGAAATATTAAGCATACCCCAGCTCCTAAACTGAGAGAGATTATTTCATCCTCAAAAGCAGAATGAGTATCAATATGAGGAGGAATTCCTATAACACAAAAAACAGAGAATAAATAAATAGTCACTGCAATTATAATGAAATTCCATCACTTTTAATATAATCTCCCAAGTCCCATTTTCACAGCTGCCCACATGTAAACCACAACACAGTAACCTCGTGCATTTTTATGCCTACTATGTGTAGTGCAGCACTACAGCAGATCAAAAAATGGAATTTCCTTCCTCTCCCATGGGAAATTCTGATATTTCAACAATTGTTTTCATCCCAAATCAACATTTGTTTTCAAAGCGCACTGCAGTAGCTCAGCCAGAGGGAGACTCCAGTGCATCATGGGAGACAGTCTGGTCAGAGAGCTGGGCCCATGGGGAAAATGGGGACATGAAGGACTTGGAAATACAACTTCCATGAGGCACTGCAGCTGCTCGGGCAGACACACAGATTAACGTCGACCTGACCCCAAATTAAACATTTTGTTTAGATTCTCCTGATCAAAACTTCTGTCAACATTGATCTCTTCCTGCAGAAAGTTTTGATTTTTACTGTGTCCCATTCTCCAACAGGAAACTATTTTGTTCTAATTGTTTTGGCCAGTCCTATATACAGTGCCAATATCAGAAACCAGATTTTACCCCCAGATGCAAATGTATTTGACTTCCATTAGTTTCAAGAGGAGCAATGTATTTAATCACATACAGAACTACATAGGTTAAGCTGCTTACAACAAGTTCGCTATGTTACAACATGGTTACAATATGAAGTGTAGAAATTCTGCCCTCAGAAATATATTGAGGTCAGCCTGATAAAAGACATGGGCATCTATTATTTCTTTGTAGCAGCATCCAAACACTCCAAACAGGATCTCATTGTGCCAGGAGCTGCACAGACACATACTAAGAGACAATGGCCTACATTTTTGAAAGTGAATAGAGATTTCAGAGGCCTGAATTTTTGGATCTTCAATTTGAAATACCTTATAGACGCCTGATTTTCTCAAAGTGACCTCAGAAAAATCAAGCCCATTTAAAGGTAGCCACCCAAAAACTGAGGTTCCCAAAATCACTAATCATTTTTGAAAACTGAAGTCAGGGTCCCTGCCTTGAAAAGCTTAGAAGGTAGGGATAGAATTTGACTCAGTACAGATACTGGATAGTATTTATATGAATGCACTGGATTGCACATACCGTACGCTAATTAATGTCCTAAATGATTAGTGCTTAAGAAAGGTTTTATACATATCCTGTATTTATGAAAGAAAGTTACAATTCATACTAATTAATTCAGATAACCCAGCCAGCAGCACATAACCATACCAATTTAACGGGCTGTCAGATATGTGAACAAACAGGGTCAGATGTCTAGACCCTAAGACGGCAGATACTGTGCACACTGTCAGAGATTAATTCTGGAAGGGAAGTGTTTGTCCTTCATTCATAAGGACAAACCAGATATATTCCAGAGAAGGGAAAGCCAAAGTCAGGTACCTTGCCTTGATGACTGAACTCAGCAAAAAGCACAGTATACGCTTTACCCTGTGGATGCCTGAGTGGAAGTAACTACCTCTTCTGTCCTACTGAGTCTGGAAGAGATTGTTGGAGCAGCACTCCTCTCCTCCAGTATGGGGATACAGTTTGCATCACCCAGAAGATGCTCTCACGTGTACTTATAGAAGGGGGCTTCTTGTTGCTGGCAGAACATGGCAGGAAAGGTTGGAGTTTGGCCAGCGCGTTGAAACTCCTGCAGTTATACTTGGACCAGGTGATTTTCCTGAATCTTTGTCTCAGGAAGTGAGTGAAAAATGTGTTTGGTTGATCCTGTCATACATGGACTGTTTACCTCTCCAGGTTACCAACTCTTTTATTACATGATCAGCTTCCATGACCTGGCCTAAGACGCTTGGGCCAGATTCTAATCTCAGTTACACATTTTCAATACCAGGGTATCTCTAAATCTCTAAATCTCCCAAGTTAGGAAGACTGCATCCAGACACTGCCCTCAATTCATGAAAGCATCCCTGTGGAACTTGGCAGAGGCAGAAGTGCGGTCTCTGAATCATAGCCATTGTAGCTGGTTTTCTGTTTTCAATCCTAGATAAAATATTGAGTTTGATTTTTTTTAAAGGGCAAATGCACTTACCTTGTCCAGGTTCATACTGGTTTATTGTCAACTGATCAGGTTTATGTTTGATATATCCCTGCTTCAAGCACTTCTCCAGAAGCGTGCTGCAAATTTCCGGGAGCCCTGTTAGTACAAACAGAAGTATAAACCAGATGTTTTCCTACTCTTTTTTCCTGCTTTTGGTGAAGGAGAAATCTATCAACTGGACAAAATACACAGAAATATGATAAAATACAATAGGCAAAATGGGGCTTGTAAGTCTGTGCACCTCATCAATTACACAGGCAATTTTGTACTCACTATGATGTGTGCATGGAAATAGCAGGTCTAATCCTGCAAACCCTCTACGTGTGTAACTTGCACAGACTATGAGGAGTTTTTAGAAGCCCTCCACACACAAAGGACTGGCAGCACTGGGCCCACTGTTTGCATGCGGAATTTCTATTGTCTGTGAACATAAATAACGGGGTGCCAAATTCAGTGTCACTGAAATCAATGGCAAAATCCCCATTCATCCCAATGGGTGCAGAATTTCACCCAGGTGCACAAGTGCTTTGCACAAAATTAAAGGCTGAGTTAAGACCCTGTCTTAGGGCAGTCCCTGCCTGGAACACCCTCCTATGCAGGCTGCTGAATGACAGACATGCCTGCCTCAGTTTCCCTCCTGCAGACTCCCCCAAAATAGTCCACAGAATCTTTCTGAGGGCAAATATAGCCCTTGTAGGGTTATCTTATTAAAGAAAGTACATAACAAAAGTCCCATTATCATAGTCCAGTTTTCCCCCAGCATAGTCAAAACAGCACATGCAAGACACACCCCGGCATCTCTCACCACACCCCAGCTCTCCAATGCAGCCCTCTCCTGCCCTTGTATCAGTGCAGCCACCGGGCCCTTCCAACCAAAGTGCAATCCCGCTCTTCCCAGCTGGAACCCCGACTGCCTCCCTGCTGGGAGCATCCCTCACACCTCCCAGCCCGCTCACGGTTCCTCTCGGTCTCACTCTCTGGGCCTGGAATGTCAATGGGTAAGCCCCCCTGCTGTCAGCCCTCTCCACCCTTAGCTCCAGCAGGCAACTCCCTCTGCTGCTCCTCCTGCCTTCAGCCTTCTCCAGCCTTTTGGCCCTGGCTCTCTGGCTTGGGACTTCCAGCCAGCAAACCCCACTTGCTGCTCTCCTACTTTCAGGTCCCAAACATACAGTCTCCAATTCCTCCTTCTTCCCAGGGATGATCTTGCACAGAGCTTTCTGCTCCCTGCAGCTTTCCCCGCAAACCTCCTCCAGTCTCCTGACTGACTCTCACGAGGACGCTCTCCCTCACCGGGTCTCTTCCTGATCTTTTGTAGCTGCCAGCGCTGCACAAATGGGAGCATCTTAGGGTGACCAGCTGTCCCGATTTTATAGGGACAGTCCCGATTTTTACTTATATAGGCTCCTATTACCCCCCATCCCCTGTCCCGATTTTTCATACTTGCTGTCTGGTCACCCTAGAGCACCTGCACTGGCACAGGGGAGCTACTTCATTTACTGGGGTCGGCCAACCTGTGACAGACCCCTTTGAAAATTTGACCCTTAACATTTAACCCTTAAAGCCTGCTACTGATTCAAATGTTGAATTAAATAAGGCCTCCTAATAAATCTATGGAATTTAAAGTAGTTTATCAGTAATATGCAAAAATGAAACCTTCAGAGAGTTTGCAGTTTGCTACTATACAGGACGAAAACTTAACTGTAAAATTCAGTGGAGTACAGCACACTTGAATGTTATGCTAAGAAATATTCCTTTCAGCAATTTGTCAATATTGACGGTTATTACTGCTTTTTCTCTCCAAAACTTGTTCCCTCCATTTATGTTTGTCTCACACACAGACCATTTAACATCTAGCTGGAGGCCACAAAACAGCCAAGACAAATATCAACACTTTTATGATTAAGCACAATTTCAGACAAAATACAATGTAACTTGCATCTGTACAGGGAAACTTTATACATATCACCTTAAACACTTGTGTTCAACTTTCAATATAACTGAATTCCATATTTTATTATTTATATAGCTAGGTTGTAGGATGGCTCACTTTATTTTCTCTGACTCATAGCTTTCAGACTCAAAGGACAATTTTTCAGAGTTTCCTTGATTGAGTTCTGCACAAAGGGGAGTTGTTTTGGAAAGTATAAGGAAAATGCATTCAGCCATTTTCAAGTTATTCAATCTGTTAAAAAATATTTTTAAAAGTATTATATTTTTACCATCTTGAAAAATGTGAACATTTTTTTTACACACACCCTTTTTCCAGTATAAAAATGAATTTGAAATGTTCCTCATATAGCGTTTCTTCAAAAAACGACCGAAATTTAGAAGTTCATAATCCACATTTGGCTAGACCTCAATGAAGAATGGCAGCCATGATTTTTTTCAAACTTCTTTAAACATACAAAGTTATAAGTGATTAAAAAGGGGTTCCATTCATGTACACTAAAATATGATTACTAAGGCACTGATTCAGGAAAGTATCCCTATTCAAGAAGGGTGTTTAAGCATGTCCTTAAATTCCATTGAAGTTAATTGGATTTACACACCTGTTTAAGTGCCTTCCTTAATCAGGGCTTTAGTTACACAACTTCCTGGGACACTACACTGTACTGAAGTTAGGTTCTGTGTGTATCTGTTGGAAAACAGATTTAAAACAAATACCATTTTAAAATGCCTTTTCATAGGAAAGTTCTCACCTCCAGGCAATGGTTTATCTTTATCTACATTGTTGTTATCATATCGAAACTCGTATCCAAAATGCTTTACCCTTCTGTGTTTTAAAGACTTCTGGGCTGTGAAGCAGAAAAAAATTAAACAATGTAAAAATATTAAAATATGTACAATATATTTATTTACACAATTTATTATGCTTGCAGGGTATTTGCCTAATGCTTATTCCATATAATCTCAACAACTATTCAATAGTTGAAAATACTATTATTTATGAACCTCACTCTCAATATACAACTCAACTTTCCCCACGTGCTAAGAGTGACTAAACAACATAGAGCTTTAGTACCATTTCTGTTTGAAGTCAAAACCCCGATGTTTTTACACATTGTAGCAATCCCACAGACGTCAATGCTTACACATGGGAGCAAGGACTGTAGGTCCCTGGACCTTGTGTTTGTCTCTCTCGGACAACAGTACCAATTTTCTTGAGCCATGGCTGACACTTTGGACAAGCTCATGATATGGACATAATAGGAACTTTCACTTCCTTGCATCATTACACTGCACACTAACTAAAGTCAATGTAATGCTTTGTGCTGTGTCAAGGAGTAAAAGCTACTTTGTAATATGGAAGCTAACTGGAAAAAATAACTGGCTTTGTTAAGAAATTTAATTCCACAGAGCTCATTTGAAACTACATGAGCAACTGGGAAGGGAGCTTTGACTTCTCTCTGGTGCTCCCAGGAAGGCTATCAAATTACAAGTGCTGCATTCTGAGAACAAACTCACTGACTGACCATGCTGTCAGGAAATAACTCTACACTAGCTGCTTCTGGAAGCAGAAGCATAATTCAAATTAACCCATTCATGGGGATCACCTTACACCACATGCCTCTGGTTAATTGTAACTGTATGACATAAAACTCAATTTTAAAAGGACTAAATATACAAAATGATTTTAAGGAATAAATTATCCAAGATGCAGACTTCTTGCAGAAATTAAATTCAACAAAAGGACAATTTGCAGGTATTTTTGAAGGTCTCACTTTCTGTGGTTCTACTAACCATTTTGAATGACTTCATTTTCTGTCCAATCAATACTTTCCAACATCTTTTGTTCTTCTTCAGGAGACACGAGCTCTTCAATCATCATCAGGCCTGGAGGCAGGCTAATAGGTATAATGTCCTCCCAATGCACTATGGGTATAAAAATAAAACAGTGCTACTGCTTATGGAAAATGATCCACTTGTGTTCTTTTATCAATAATGATAAACCCCAGATTGATCATCATCTGAACTAATTATCCTCCTTGGTAGCATAAAACAGGATCAGAATCCCAAGTTCTGTGCTATACAACCCAATTCTCAAATCTCACTATGTAGGACCCGAGAGACTTAGTGTTTTCCACTCTCAAAAAATATCTGATTTGTCTGTTAAAATAAAGGTCAAAACTTTCCCATACATTTCAAAGGAGATTCTAGTTGGATTCAATTTTATTTTGCCAGGACTCAAGATTTGTCACTGCTTGTGATTGACAAGCATAGAGTACAGTGAAGAAAGTATGTCTGAATGCTATAAGCCTGAATGCTATATGCTGTTTCTTAAATGTAAGAAATGATATAAAATGAAGATGGCCATTTGTAGCTCGCCAACCAGATGTGATGAAATGTTCACTGCAACACCTATCTTGATAGAAAATGACTTGCGTAACAGGCTTCCAACTTGCAGCCCTATGAATTATTATTGAAAATGATCTGTACTATGGTAGAGTTTAGGGGCCAAGATCAGGACCTCATTGTGCTAAGTGCTCTACAAACACAAAGAGACGGAGTTCACAATCTAAATGGGCGAGTGTTATTGTTCCTGTTTTACAGATGAGAAACTAAGGCGCAGAGAGATCAAGTGACTTGGCCAAGGTCACACAGGAAGTCCATAGAATGGGAATTGACCTCAGACCTCCTAAGTCCCAACCTATTGTCTTCACCACAAAGACCATCCTTCCTCTCCAGCAACAAATGGTTTGGCTCCAAGCTACCAGAGATACCATCTCTCTCCCCACCTTATACGATCACATGTGCTCATGGAGGTGTTCCAGCTGCAGCCTCCTAGCATTAAACAAGAAATATCCTAGTAGGATATTTTCTGTGAAGGGTCTTTAGTTCTGGCATTCACTCCATGCCTCAGACTACAAGAGACCAGATTTCAGGGTATGCTGCAAGACCCCTCTTTTTTCCCTAGACTTTGGTTCATGAGGAAAGTAGATTATTGCTCCTATTATTGTTTGATCCTTTTGGGCAATTAATTTTGCTTTTCAGGTTCCTGGAAAAGCTGACCCTTATATTTGATACATGTATTTATTCATCTATTTTATTTAGCCATATAAAGTATTGTTGCAAGCATCCACAGACTGCTCTAAGTGCCATATAATAAAATAAAAGACAAAAACCAGGAATGATTCACGAAACACAGTTCAAAAATATAAGGTGAATTTCTGACCCCATTGAAGTCCATGACAAAACTTCCATTGACTCTCATGGGGCCAGAATTCTATCCACAATTCCACTATAACAAGCAACTGAAAAGCAAAGGAAGAAAAGTGATGCTTTATGGGATAGCAGAGTATTGATACCTTTTTCCACAAAGTTAACATACAGAGTAACATTTTGGTTGGAGTCCTCCAGTGTTATCTCTTTCCCATTGAGAGTGTCATAGGCTTTCTTGGCTTCTTCTGTCGACCCATATTTCACAATTGAATAGGGTTTATTTGGAGGCATTAAGAGTGCTTCCACCAATCCACATTCCTCTACTAGCCTGAGCAGCTGGTGTCTATTCACACCATTACCCAGACCTCCATTGGCAACGACCAAGTTCTAATTTAAAAAAATTAAAAATAGACATGTTAGCGGTCACCACTGATTTGTTTACCTGAAAATAGCATTTCACAAACACAAGTGTCATAAAGAGAAATGAAGCTATTATCTCTAAATCGGTCTGTGGTTATTCTGTTTGATATTCCAAAGGAAATGTTTATATTTCAATTAGTCTGCGGCTATTTGAAGCCCGGAGCACAGTAGTACAACACACATTTAAGGGAAAGGCTTTTACAAAACAAGAGCATTCAAGCTCGGAGAGAAATAACATGCCCATGTTTGTGTGTGCAGACACCACAACTGTGTCTGCAAACAGGTATCTGTGCAGGGGAGATGTGGGGGGTCTACACATTTACAGAACCTGGATAACATGTACTTTGCACATGCCCTGAACATTCTTGTCCCTCAGCTACAGAGTTTATTTGTATTTGCAGATTCCATAGCTAACAGTTGGCTGTAAGTGTCCTGCAATACCTTTGAAAGGGTGGAACAAAAATAAATCCCATTGTATTAACTGTATCTGCCTGATTTTTTTCATGACAGCCAAGTGTTATGGCTCCCACAAATGAACTCGGAGAAAACTGAGCTTAGCAGCCCATTTCTAAACACCTCCAATAATTTTTTTTTGAAGGAGTGGCCTCTAACATCATCCTCAATATTTTTCTCTTTACTCTCTTCTGCAAGGAAGGGTAACCCTTTCCTCTGTCTGAGGAGAGTCTGATGCATTCATTAGCATAGCCCACTAGTGCTATTCTTTCATTGGGCCAGGGGAGGAAGGTCACTTGAGAGCAATATGAGGTATCCCTCATGCCCCATTTTAGGGACCAACCATGTAACCAGTGCTGAGCAGAATCAGCCCTGAGCAGGATCAGCTCAGAATCCAACTTCAGATCCCCTTCAGGGTACTTCTCTGAATTGATGCTAGCTTGCTGGGGATGCACCATAATGCTACAAGTAAAGATATACTGGACATCCTGCTGAAAGAATGGAATCACCCAGGGTGCCTGCTACACAATACAAAATACAGCTTTAGGGCCCCAGTTCATCCTCCAAACACTTATGCACGTGAGCAGTCTCAATGGGACGATTCGCCATCACCGATGTGCCAATGTCTCAGTGCAGCTACACTCGGGGTATGGCTACACTGCAATGCAAGCCTGGGCTCAGACACAGGCTTTGAGCCCAAACCCCTCTTCCATTTACACACAATCCTGTTGTACTCAGGCCCAGGCCCTAGAACCTTGCAGGATGAGACGATTTGAGCCTAGGTCCCACTGACACTCGGGTCCAAACGCCATCGTTTTGCATTTGTGGATGCAGCTCAGGCTGAGAGTCAGCCAATGCTATCCCACAAACCCATGGGACACTGTTCTGTGTCCTCTCTATCCCAAGAGTAACCAATTGACCCCCCCAGGAAATGGAAACAACCCCACTTGTACAGCCAGGCAGCGTTTAACCCTTCCCCTTTATTCTGACCACTGAGCTACAGAGTAAACCTTCTCCCGCGTTAGGTATGGCCATCAACCAGAAGTCATCTTTTGCCAAGCGTGCCGCTTCCTGGTCCCAAGAGCGCAGCCAGATTTTGGTGAATCTCTGATGTGAGGCAGGCAAAAAGAGGAGTTTTAGTAGGAGTACTAACAATGACCATGTGTAAAAAGAGACAGAGAAGAAGCTGGCAGTGCTGGGAAGTCACTGGATCAGAGACTGGATCAGAGAATGGATCAGGCAGCTCAAGACCAACTACTGGCAATTCAGGGATGAGAACTGCGCCTCTCAGAACTCGCCTTCAACCTGCACCTTTTATGAGGAGTCTGACTGGGTGCTGGGTACTAGGTACTGCACCAAGCACAGAGCCAATAGAGCTTACAACAGCCTGGTCAGCCAGGGTGGCAAACTTCTGATCCCTGAATCCAACATAGGAATGGAGGGGGGCCAGCAGGCACTGGCTCAGGCCAGCAAAGTCACTATGGTGCTGGAACCGGTCCCCAAGGAGGCTTTGTCCCTGGCGCAGCTGCAGCATATGCTGGGTTCGGAGGAGCCTTTTGTTGCCCCCCTTTGAGCAGCAGCCTGCCACAGAACTGGAAGAAACAGAATTAACCCAAGAGCATGGTAAGTTTCTGGCTCCATGTTTGTTTTGATTAATATAGGAATGGAAGGGATTTCCAGGTTATGAACAAATGCAAAAGTTATTACACGCCGTGGACAGCAGCGGGTATCCACTCATGGCAGGTTGCATGGACAGCACCTTGGCGCCGGGGCGTTAAAAATAAGACTTTCATATTCCTTCCCTGTCAGTACGCTGCTCTGTATTAATACAACAGTGTAATGAGCCACTTGTAATCAGTGAACTGTCCAGGTGGTAGTGGTGCAGGTGGGGGTTGAAACGTGGCCCATTTATGTACGTAGTCCCTAGTGACAAAATCGTTTGTCCAAAATAGGGGTGGAGGGTAGGTATGCCATCCGGAAATGTGTCTGGGAGGAGGTGAGGTGGCTGTGGAGTTCTCTACGAGTCCATATTAAGGTGTGCTTGCATGCAGTCATAAAAGGCTGTATGGGAAGCTGTGGGGAGACAGGAAGCCATACAGATGCTAGTGCAGCATCCTATTGATTCCCCCCATGAATTTTGACCCAAGTCCAAGGGCTGATAGCTGCAAACTTTTCCCGTAGCAGGAACTCCAGATAGCTAGGCACATTTTGGGGAAAGGCATATTTTCAAGGACCACCACAGTAACTGACCAACACACTCCACTCACAGATGTGCTACTCGGGCACCATAAGTTTGAATACTTTGGTGGCATACATGGTTGGCTTGCCTGCATGGAAATGCTTTAATATTGTTATTTTTGTAACACAAATAAAGGCTTTTATTTTATTCAGAGAGTTTATTGCCATCACTACATCATGTCTTATAATGTGTGTTTTGAATAATAAAGATAAACATAGGGCAAGGAACAATGGGCAAGTTGTAGCCATACATAAATTTCTCAGTACATCTATGTCCAATCAATCAATAATGAAAATGCACAGTTCCCTGTCCATTACATTAACAGTCAGGTCATCCAAAATAAAAATATGTGAGGGGAGGTCTAGGTTGGATATTAGGAAACACTATTTCAGTAGGAGGGTGGTGAAGCACTGGAATGGGTTACTTAGGGAGGTGGTGGAATCTCCATCCTTAGAGGTTTTTAAGGCCTGGCTTGACAAAGCTCTGGCTGGGATGATTTAATTGGGGTCGGTCCTGCTTTGAGCAGGGGGGTTGGATTAGATGATCTCCTGAGGTCTCGTCCAACCTTAATCTTCTATGATTCTATTAATATGCCCCATTCACTGTGTACAGTGACAATATCCTCCCCCCACACACATTTCATTGTGTGCTGTGACAATACATCATTTACTGTAAATATTGATGTACAAAAACATTCCTAAACATGCTGTTCTCTCTCTTCCATTGGTCCATGCAAATCCATAATGTGGGAGCACAGAGCATCCCTGATTTGTGTTGCCTGGATGCATCCTGCTGTCACAGGTGCACTTTCTAGCTGAGTGCACTGGTTCGGCAATCCATCACTGCCATAGCTCCATTGAGGGGCAAACAGCTCACCTTTGGCTTCACACAGATTATGAAGAGCACAGCAAGCCACAATGATGGAGACAGCATTGATGACACTGGAATCCAAAAAGGTCTGTTGATGACACTGGAATCCAAACAGGTCTGTTGTTAGTGCCAGTGGGATTTCAGTCTGCCAAACGCACATTCAACCACCATTCTGCACCCGCTCAGAGTGTGATTAACCCTTCTTTTGCCAGGCCCCGAGATCAGGATATAGTTTCATAAGCCAAGGTAAAAAGGATTACGTGAGGACAGTAACTCCATTTATGAGAATGTCGTTTGGTGGAAATAGAATCCCAGCCTGCCCATGAAGGTAGACTCCTGCTCAGCAGAAAACCCTGGCATCATGATCCCTCCTTCCAGTGCAGCTCACATTGGTGTCCATAAATCAGCTTCTGTGGTCCACAAGGGCAAGCGTAATAGCAGAGTAGTGCCCTTTGCAGTTTATGTACTCATTTGCTCCCTGAGTGCCACGAGTCCCATCAACGGCTCCGATGCAGTTTGGAAAGCTCATTCTCTCAAAACCAGCAATTACTTCACAAATATAGTTTCTGCCCACCCCAGCTGGGTAAAGCACACGCCTGATCATCTCAGAAGCCTACATCACCACTTTACCCACATTTGACTTTCCAACACCAAATTAGTTAGCAATAGACCTGTAGCAGTCTGAGGTAGCCAGCTTCCAGACAGTGATAGTGTCAGGGTTCCTTCCCTACTCTGACCTCTGGGGGGACCCGCATGAAAGACCCCCTAAGCTTATTTGTACCAGCTTAGGTTAAATTTTTTTCCAAGGCACAAGTTCCACCTTGTCCTTGAACAGTATGCTGCCACCACCAAGTAATTTAGACAAAGAATCAGGGAAAGGACCACTTGGAGTCCTATTCCCCCAAGCCCTACACCCCCTTTCCTGGGGAAGGCTTGAGAATAATATCCTCACCAATTGGTACAGGTGAACACAGACCCAAACCCTTGGATCTTAAGAACAATGAAAAATCAATCAGGTTCTTAAAAGAAGAATTTATTTAAAGATAAAAGAATCACCTCTGTAAAATCAGGATGGAAGATAACTTTACAGGGTAATAAAAGATTCAAAAACACAGAGAATTTCCCCTCTAGGCAAAACTTTAAAGTTACAAAAAAACCAGGAATAAAACACAGGGAAAATTCACAAGCTAAAACAAAAGACGCTCTAACGCATTTCCTTGCTATTACTTACTATTTCTGTAATATTAGATGTATCATTTCAGTGGCAGCTGGATTACTTGCTTGGTCTCTCCCTTTGTCTCCGGAGAGAACACCCACCAGCACAAAACAAAGCCTCCTCCTCCCCCACCCCGATTTGAAAGTATCTTCTTTCCCCACTGGTCCTTCTGGTCAGGTGCCAACCAGGTTATCTGAGCTTCTTAACTCTTTACATGTAAGGAGGGATTTTATGCTACCCTTAGCTGTATGTTTATGACAGATAGCAATCCACTTCTGGATCAATATGGTCGCCCGCACAGAGGTCTCATGCTGCTGGAGGGACAGGACAAGCTGCTCACAAAGCTCCAGAAATGTAGCTCTCTTCACGCAAAAGTTCTGACCCCATTGCTGGCCATCCCAGGTCTGCATAACGATGGGATCCCACCAATCTGCGCTTGAAACCCTACTCCGGTAGCACCGGTCTACACAGAGGGCATCAGCAACTATACTGAGAGTCGCGAGTTATACCAGCCAGTTCCATTCTTCTGTATCTGTATCATCGTCCTCCTCTTGCTCCATCATTAGCTCCATCATTTGCTTTCGGAGGGTCACAAAACATTGCTGAAATGTGCACCAGCATCTCATGGAAGCTCTGCCTGTTTCCTGACACAGGAGTGAAAGCCCAAGCAAGAGAAGTTCTTCAAATGGTGACTCTTCCATGCTGCTGGCTCCAGTTGCTGGAAGCATGCAGGCCAAAACGACGGCTTGGCAAGCTGTGTTGGCAGGCTGTGACAACTTCCTGTGATGTGCGGGGTGGACAGTCAAGTTTTCCAATGCTCCACCATGAACCAAGGGCTACAGCGGCCACATTTTGGGAGAACGCTAGGTAGTCTGGCATATGGTTGGTTGGACCCGGGTCTGCATACTGCAGTATGGATGCTGGTGCCCCAGTGTGGGGCCCTGACTCAACATTTCTTAACCTAAGGTTACCGATGAGCATGGACACTCAAGCCCCTGAGCTTTCAAAACCCAGGGTCTGCGGACTCAAGTCCCACTAACCCTGGGCTTGCATTGCAGTGTAGACATAAGCTCAGCTGCCCCAGCATTGCTTTACGGCGCACTGGAGCGCTGAGGCAGCAATACCAGGGCTCTCTTCAAGCACTAATGCCTCAGCACAGATGGATTCCCTCAATCACAGGCTTCCCACAAAGTCCCTGTCTCCCCCATGCCATCAGGTTCATCAGAAAAAGAGGCAGCCTCAAAATGGAGCTGATAGCTGAGCTTCTGAGACTCCTTCATATGCCAATTCCTCTCTCTCTCTTTCTGGGGTGAAAGAGAAAGAGCCATCCCCGCTGTTTATTTAGGTTCACTTGAGTAAGGGGGAATCACCTTTTGAGTGTTTAATTTTAGAATTTCAAAAGTGGCTGATATGCAGTGTTGTAGCTGTGTCGGCCCCAGGATATTAGAGAGACTAGATGAGGAAATATCTTTTATTGGACCAACTTCTGTTGGTGAGAGAGACAAGCTTTTGAGCTACACAGAGCTCTTCTTCAGGTCTGGGAAAGGTACTCTGAGCATGGCAGCTAAACACAAGGTGGAACAGATAGTTTAGCATAAGCAATTAGCACATATTCTAAGGGACCATTCAAGGTGAAGTGGCCCATTAACATCCCTATAGTAATAGGCCAAAAAGGGAGGGTTAGTGGGTTACAGATTGTCATAACAAGACATAAATCCAATGTCTTTATTAAGACCATGATTTTTAGTGTCTAGCAAAGTTATGAATTTAAACTCTCAGATTCATCTTTTGAAAGTGTTGGGCAGGTTCCTTTTGAGGATGAGGACTGATAGGTCGACATAATTTTGTATCGTAGACATGCCCTCTCTCAGGAAAATGATAAAAGACAAAAACACCACATCACCTGTGGTTGGACACTTTTCACAAGGTGATCACTCTATATCTTATCTATCAGTCCTCATCCTGTGTAGCTTGAAAGCTTGTCTCTCTCACCAACAGAAGTTGGTCCAATAAAAGATATGATCTCACCCACCTTGTCTCTAAAACTGGCTGATGTCCAAAGAGTTATCAGAATGTGTGTATGCTGGGGGGAGTGTGGTTGTTTTGCTAGTGGAACTAAACAAAATATGACCCCCAAAAAATTTAAAAAAAATAAAGGGGGCATTTATAAATATTTCCTCTGCAAAAGATAGTACATATTTTGCAAAAATTACAGACAAGGTCCAATTGTCTTCTGAATAGTTATTTTGCCATGTTTGGATAGTAAATCAATCATTTCCATTTGAAACAGAGGGATTTTAGTCCTACTTTAAGGGCAAATTAAATGCAACTTTAAGTATGGAGTCAATATCGGTGCCTTCATATAATTAGCAAGCATATGCTGTTATTGCCCTAAAATGGCATATCTGTGTTTCACACATTTTTTCTTCCCAACATCTTTCCCAGAATGAGGCAGCCAATCTTTTTCTAAAAGCATTTCTATAAATGCTCTATTATCTTTTCTGAAAGCAGATCCTAAAAAGTTTTGTTGTTTCAAATTATAGTGTCTAATTCTTCCAAATGAGAGAAAATTGGCTTGAAAATGGGAGGGAAAGATTTAATAAATGGAAAAGGAGGACAGTACTCTTAAAATCTTAACAAGGAGTGCTAGGTGACATGTCTGAGAAACTACTGACAGATATTTCTATTATGAAGTCTCAGGACAGTGTCAGTACTTCTATAAGAAATCACATTTTCCAGAGGTTTACCATGCAATCATAAAAGAAATTGTTCTGGCTTGAAACCTAGCAAACAAAATCTCAGTGAAGAGTGAATTTCAGGAAAGTCTCTTCATTACCTAATCTGTGTATTGTCGCTGGACCACAACTTCCAGAGGATTTTCAAAGTCTCTGTGTTAAATTCAGCTAAAAATTCTGACTATTATTACTGTATTATTTTTATTTGGATTGCTGTAACACCTACAAGCCCCAGCCATGGACCAGGATTCCACTGTGCTAGTGCTGTAAAAACACAGAACAAAAAGATAGTCCCTTCCCCAAAGAATTTGCCATCTGCACTAGGTTTTCAAATCATTATTTACCTATATCCTCACATGGTTTTAAATCGCAGTGTAAACCAGGCCCAACAACTTGCCTTAAAACAACTGCCAAGGTTGCAATGGCAACCATAAGACGAGAATGAGGAAGAGTCCTGAGACAGACCAGGCAAGACATGGGACAACAGTTTACATAAGAGAAGCTGAAGTGAGATTTCTAGTGAGTATTGGATTAGTGTTAGAAAAGATTTCTAGGAATGGAGTTTAATAGGGAGTTTGAAGGAGAGAGATTGTGCTTTGTGGAGAAGCATGGAGGGAAAAAATGAAAGCAGAGGAGACAAAGAAAGGAATACATATGACAAAGAATGCAATATGGGAAAAGGAATGGGAGGCTCTAACATGTATATTAATTGATGAAGGTAACAAAGTTTATTAGTAACAGCAATCAGAACTTTTCCCAGCCACATGAACAATCCTTTCAGCCTAAAAGACCTGGTCCAAAGACCATTAAAGTCACTGGGAGTTTTTCCATGGACAAAGAGCTTTGACCAAAGCCCAAAGTGCAGTTCTACTTTGGAATCAAAGTGAAACAATCAACATGGAGTCTCACTGCCCTTTTTACAGTCACTTTTCAGAACAGAACTGCACTTTAGCCAATATATAGGTGAGGCTAGGATATGCGTAGGCTGTGCATTCAGGCTCACATAACAACAATTAGAGCTTCAAGTCACCTGGGTGGTGTGAGATACACACTCGATGCCCTCATGCCTCATTAAAGTGTTTCTGGCCTTGATCTGTTTCCTCAATAATTTCTTCTCAGATTTATTCCGTTTCAGATTGTTTTGACCGGTGCTGTCCATTTCTGCACTGGAGATTCGGAAAGACAAGGCCACAGCAGAAGGGAGAAAACGTTCAAGATTCCTTTAAAAAAAAAAAATCCTGAATGTCATTTATTCATAGGCCGTTTTAAAATATTTTTTAAAGAGCCACAGACAACATAAAACTCCTATGTAAAAGATCCATTATTTCTTTTACTAATAACACCTCTGTTCTAATCCCACCTCTAATACAAATCCCTCACAGAGCTTGGGGGAGTGTCCCATTTTTTCCCCCCACTTGAAAAATGGAGAACAAAACTCACCTACTTCACACTGCTCTGGTGAGATTATTCACCTCCCTCACAAGTCCTTTTTCAGGTAGGAATGGGGAACTTCATTTAGTTCACAATTTTACAAATCTTACAATTTGGGGGAGAGAATCACAAAATTAACTTGAATGCAAAAACTGTTTTTTCCCCTTCAATTCATCCCCATGGGATTTTTTTCCTGTGGGGTGATTCATGCAAGATAAAGGGCAATCTATGCTACATATTAGGGAAGAAAAAATTCCCAACCAGCTAGGCTGCTATGAGGGGAGTCCTATGTATAGTATATAATGCCAGATTATTTTTTTTCATTTGTGTTTAATCTCTTCCCCATTCTGTTCCTTTATTCACAAGCTTATGGCATTCGTTTTTCACCCTACCTGCTCCTCCACTATGGTTTTCATCCTGTTATTTCAGTTGGTTTCACCCCCTTCTCCAATATCTCCGGAGTGGAACAAGAACCCACAAATGTCCAAATCTGAGTTGAACTTCCATCCTTGCAATGTTTGAGTGGGTTTGAAATCAAACATCTATACAACACAGCTCTCCGAAACCAGGCCCCGTCACTTAAAGGAATGAAACAGCTGTGCACTGTTAATTCAATATGACATTCAATAGAATGTGTCAAAAATCTTCCACTCAAACTGTTTTTCGACAGAAAATAAGGCTTTCGACGAAGGGCTTGTCTACACTGGCAATTTACAGCGCTGCAACTTTCTCGCTCAGGGGTGTGAAAAAACACCCCCTTGAGCACAGCAAGTTTCAGTGCTGTAAAGCACCAGTGTAGACAGTGCACCAGCGCTGGAAGTTAGCCTCTCGTGGAGGTGTTTTTTGGGGGGGGTTTTAAGAGCCGTGACCACACAAGCCACATTAAAGCGCAGCCGTAGCAGCACTTTAGCGTTGCCAGTGTTGACTAGCCCTAACCAAATCTTTTCACAAAAAGCATCAGCTTTCCAGAGAAAATGTTTATATTGTGTTAAAAGAAACATGGAAATTTTCAATTAAAATGAAAAAATCCGTATAATGGTAACATTTTGTCAACTTTCTACTTAATACATTTTTAAAAGCTGACTCACTCCCGACCCTTTCCCTGTTTATGTTGTATCTTCTTATCCTTCCTGGCTTCATATCACATTTTCTTTTCTATCACAGATCACGCTGTATCTTTTCCGGCACTGTCCTTGGTTTCTGCCTCCTTTTCCTTTCTGTCTCCTTCCACCTCTTTCAAACTCTCACGGTGAAATCCTGGCCACACTGAAGTCAATGCACAACTCCCGCTGACTACAGCAAGGCCAGGATTTTGCCCTCTCTATCCCTACAGTGTGTTCTCTACCTCCTGCCCTATATTTTCTGTCTCTCCTATCTTCTCCCACTTCTTTCTGACAGCACTGGCTAGACAGATGAGCTATGACTGTCCCTCTTACCCTTTTCCTCCTTCTCCCATTCCTTTATTCCTGCTAACCCTTTCCCACCTGTCAGCCCCCTGCCCCAAACTGTAGAAAATCTGTGTCAGTCACCACTATATTTAGTTATTTGTGTCTCACCCCATCCTCAATGCTCCATCTGTTTGTGTACCTCTTAGATTATAAACTCTCCAGAGGAAAACTGTCTCCCAACCTGTGTTTGTAGAGCACCCTGCACAATGGGGCTCCAATCCTCATTGGAACTTAAGGGGCCAACCATGGTATAAATGATAAATAAACAAACAAACAAACAAACCAAACAGGAAAGGTTCCTACATTACACAGGCAAGTGGATCTTTTGCCCTGGAGCTCACCCATTCCAGATTGTGAGTGCATGTGCATAAAGGACTTTGAAGAGGAAAGGTTGAGTGTGTGTGCGTTCTGTGATGTTAATGACATTTTATATCACTAAAAATGAACTTTCAAAAAATAAAATGATCTTTTTAATGAAAAACAAGACCTACCAATGAAATACAAAAAATCTTTTCAAACTCTTCACCTCCATATGTAAAAATGCAATCAGTACTAATCTCTACAGCAGGGTGTGACGTTACACTCCATATTCTTCATAGAAATAGTGTTATGATATGAATATGGCATAACTAAGATATGTTTTATGCAAGATGGGTCATGTGAGATATCACTGGAAAGGATATGATTTGCTGAATGTATTTATCCAATTTGTATGCATGTATCATTTCTGTATCAAGAGCTAGGAATATTAACTATGTAACAATTACAACTGTGTTTTCACCTGGGAAATGCCCACCAGACAGTAGGCAAAGAGTCTGGATGAACCATTAAGGAGAACAATAGAACTTTGAAAATGCTAATCTCACTCCTTCCTGAGAAGTTTACTGGGATGCTGCATTGACACAGCAGGGTCAGGTAACCATGTCACCTGCTACTGGACAATGTCTTGTTGGTACTTTTCCACTGTAGGGAGATGGGGATCAAACAAAGGATTCCCGCCTTAGGTAAATCCTTTTTAAGGCTGGGGAAAGGGTTAATCTTGACTCTCCTCCATGGCCTGCCCAGGAAAGAAGACTGCTAAAAACACCTGGAGGGAAAGGCAGGGATGAGTGCAGGCTGAGACGGGTCCAGTCTGTAAAAAGAACTAACTGGAAGCTACAGAAACTCTGCAACTTGCCTAAAACAACACTGAGGGTGAGAAATTACATTTTGTAACCTGTTTTTTGAGTGTATTAAGCCTAGTTTGCATGTTTTGTTTTATTTGCTCAGTAATCTGCTTTGTTTTATTTACTATCCCTTATAATCAGTTAAAAATTACTGTTTGTAGTTAATAAACTTATTTCTTGTTTATAACATAACCCAGTTTCTGTAATTCATATCTGGGGGAGCAAGAAGTTGTGCATATCCCTCTCCACATTGCAGGAGAGGGCGATTTTTATGAGCTTGCGCTGTGCAGATTTTTCTGTATAGCGCAAGACAATATTATTTTGGGTTTACTCCCCAAAGGGGGTGTGCACGTGAGTGCTGAGTAAATCCCCGAGCTGATTCTTCCCACACAGAGCTGATTTCAGTCTGTGTCTGCAGCTGGGTGTGGCCTTACCTGTGTGTGTGCTAGAGAAGGCTTGAGGGCCTGGCACAGCAAAGACAGGGTGAGGAAGCCCAAGCTGGTGGAACGGGCAGAACCAGTGGGACCCCAGCACATCAGGTGGCATCCGGAACAAGAGAGTCCAACCCGTCACTCGGGGTTCTCAAACTTCATTGCACCTCGACCCCGTTCTGACAACAAAGTTACTACACGCCCCAGGAGGGGGGCGAAGACTGAGCCCCGCTGCTTCAGGTGTGGGTGGAGTTTGGGCTTCAGCTTCAGCCCTGAGTCCCAGCAAGTCTAATACTGGCCCTGGCAACCCCTATTAAAATAGGGTCCCAACCCACCTTGGGGTCCCGACCCACAGTTTGCGAGCCGCTGCTCTAGCACCAGTGTAACAACCATTAAAACTAGTCTGGGTCTTTGCCCTGCTCTAGTGGCTGACACAAAGAGGTTTATAAACTAACTACTGCCTAAGCTAATTGGCCTGATACAGTAGCTTAGGCCTTAAAGACTCATCCTTGTAAATCCACAGGGCCAGGGTTCAATCCCACAATAAAATCATTGGACCAGCAGACCTCCTATGAAAAGACAACAAGATTTCTTAGGTGGTACTCATGAGCATGTCTTGAGGACAAGAGGCACTGCTCAAATGATGCAGTATTAGCATCCTGGTATACAAATCTGTGCCCAGGTAGTCAAATATAAGACTATAGATGCAACCACTCAAATTTGCTATCTGAGAACATATTATAAAAAAAATTAAATGATGGTCAAATGAAACATCATTTGTGTAACTGATACAACTTTGCATTGTATATTATACTTGAAATGGTTTATTTGATTTTTTTAGTAGATGCAAATACATTAATGTAATTGTTATTAAGCACTAAAGAAGCAGACGGGTAATAATTATATATTTCTTGTGGCTGCTGCAATGCTATTGTCATAAAATACACACAACTATGCCCCAAAAGGGAAATGTTATGGGGAACTATAATTAATAAAAAATGGAAATAACATATTTGGAACCCTGATATGAAACAGCGCTGAAGAAATTCCTTTAAAAAAATAATTTTCTCTCTTTTCCTCCCCCCTTCTTTAAACTTAAGGTGAATTAAAATGCTTGTGAAAAGAAAGGAATTGCCAGCACTGGAAAGTGATGTCCTCTATCAATAGAACAAGTTCCAGCAGGGACCGGGGCAACAACTCTGTTCTGAAAATGTGTTTCAACTGATTACTAGTAGGGTTGAGAGGGATAGGAGAATTTCCATGCTCATTCAGTCTTTGACCTCTTTGCCAAGTAGTGTCAGGAAGTTGTGGGCTCAGTCCTCAGCAGTGTCCCTTGAAGGGCGATCACACTTGCCTATGAAGACTGCAAGTTCAGAATACTTTTCTTATCTGAATAGATTGTAGTTGAGAACAAAACAATAAAACAATTGGAGCATAGCAATGCCTGTAATGTGTGTTTCAGAATACAAGAAAACAGGGAAGCTCATACCTGCTTAAACAAAAAGTGCAGTGAATTTAGTTTTCACTTGGGAGAGGAGAACACAGAGAAAAATATAAGAACAAAGTTAAAACTCCTGTTTATCTTTGTAAGAAGACATTTTGAGAAATCCGTTACACAATTTTCCTTAGAGACTTGAAACTAGACCTCCTTTACTGCTGGAGCTATTACTTGTAACTGGCAGGTAACATTATAACAAGATACACCTCTACCTCGATATAACACTGTCCTCAGGAGCCAAAAAATCTTACCATGTTATAGGTGAAAGCGCGTTATATTGAACTTGCTTTGATCCACTGGAGTGCGCAGCCTGCCCCTCCCCCCCCCCCCGGCCCGGTCCGCGTTATATCCACATTCGTGTTATATCGGGTAGCGTTATATCGAGGTAGAAGTGTAGTGGGGAAAAAGTCTCTGACAAAAAGACAAAGATAAGTTAGATGAGCGCACACACAAGAAATGAAAAAGTCCCTTTTGTTGAAATGGGCATCTATTTATAGCAAGGATTTTGGCATGATTCACTAATCAATCACTTCAGGATTTGAATATCAAAGGCAAACACAGGCTGGGATTTAAGGACAATGGTATGGAGGACTCTATAGGAAAGCTTGCACACTGTCTGCCTGCACATATTGGGCCTGATTCTCCACTGTCTTGTACATTACATATCCATTTAAGGCTCAGTTCTATGTCTATTGAAAACAATGACAAAGCTCCCATTAACTTTAATGGTGCAAAATCAAGCCCTTAGACCTGTGCATGGTAAGTGAAAAACTCTATCATTCCTATTTTGTAACATTTTTTACCCACTTTGCACACGTCAAAATTACTATAAAAGGTACAAGGCAATGGAGAATCAGACCCATTATTACCGACCTTAACTCATTTGCATTGAAAAACCACCCCTCAAAATGCATCGAAATTAAAACAAAAACACAGGCACAATCATGCTCTACTGGCAGTTTTAGTTGTGAATATAATGATCCATATCATGCCACACTGAAATTAATGGAAAGAGTTAATGGAGAGTTTTGCTTAACAATGGAGAACCTGGACTGGCCCCATATGTTTTAGGAGCAATTTCTGAACAGAACAGCAAGAACAATTTAGATTGTAGTTTGGCGTGCTAGTTACCAGCAGATGGAGCACTACGCCCAGTTATAAAGTGACTGATTTCATTTTGCAGGTGCTCAGCACTTCTGGAAAAGATGCCTAGATAGAAAATTGATATAAAACAGAGAAAAGAAAGGGGGGAAAGCAATCTATTATTTCCATAATTTCTTGATGATGTTTTTAATATTGCTTATAAAATGTAGTGTATTCACGATAACATACCATATATAGTTTCAGAGTCATTAGTTAACTGTTGATCCAATATATAACTTCTCATAGACACAATAGTTTTATTTTATACCCTTTAACCATTAAGGCCCTCATCCTGCAATGAGATGCACGAGGGCAACTTCTGCACCTGTATGGAACTCCACTGACTTCAATGCAGGTCTACATAACACATGCAGAATCAGGGCCCTACTGTGTAAGATTACTGACATGACACAGTAACGGATGACAAGATGGACTTCTGTCTGAATCTCTAAAATGCTGCATAATCTACTTTGCATTTATTTACAAAGTCAGAGATTATAATCGGAAATGAGCTCCAGATGCAAGTTTCAGATACAGATCAGGGCTGCAAATGTCTCAAAGTCTGCAATGCTTTGAACCTCCCATTTATAAAGGTGGCATCATTTGCAAAATTTGAATCTGGGTTTGGATTTTAAAAACTGACTCCCAAAATTCCAGACTGGCCAGATCTAGAGGTTTGACCTGGGCTCAACCTGTCACTAATTATAATAATTCCAGAGATTATTATTATTTATTCACCTGTCAAGATTAGATTGGGTTCAGTCCCATTGTATTGTACAAACAGACTGGGGAAGGGAACATTCTTACTGAGAGCTTACAGGCTAACTAGAGAAGACAGGGAAAGGGTGGGAAGCAGTGCTTAATCTGTAATGCAAGAGGTGCTGGGACTCAAGCAATTTTTTTACATTCATAACTTCTGCAGCAAGCCCAGAGGTGCTGGGGTTCAGCCCTGGCAAGCTGTAGCACAAATTAAGCACTGGTGGGAAGGGAAACAGAAAAATGAAGTGACTTGCCCTAAATAATGCAGAGATCAGTGGCAGAGCATGAACTAGAACACGTCTCCACCCTCTCAGTCCTGTGCACTATGCACTGGCCCATGCTGCCAACAGCGACCTTCTTGTACAACACAGGTGTACATGTGTGCACACAATCCCCTTGCCAAGGAAAGCTTACATTATAAAAAGGGTTGAGGTATTTTCCATGTGCATGTACCTGGGTAGCCTTATACATCAGCCTATATAAACAAGTACTTACCACAGGAGTGGGGCAGAGCAACATAAAACCCTGGGAGAGTCCTCCTGACACACAGGGATTCCCAGTGGCAGCATGGCAAGACTGATCAGAATTGTACTCTGCCACGAGGGGGTTAAGAGACGAATTGTCTCCTAAAGCCCCCGTTATCCATGTCACTGACGGGCCCTGAACGGGCTGCTGTCAGACCAAATTCAGACAAAGAGTGACCCCTCCCCAAAGGAGTAGTTCCTTGCAGCACAGACCCTGAGCTCCAGCCCAACCCTTCCTCAGGACTGGATTTGACAACAAGCCATTACTCCTGATCACTAGCACAGTGACTACCATAGGCCACGTTCACCCCTGGCCCGATGCCACTGAAGCCAGCCGCGTCCGCCCAGCTTTGAGCGTGGCCCCCGGAGCTCAGCTGTGACTCGTTCAGCCGCTGGAAGTGGCAGAGGAAACAATGCACATTACCTTGCTGGAGGCCGCCATTCTGGGGAACCCTTGACTACAACTCCCATGAGCCTCACTGCCTACAGCTCCCATCATGTCTGTGGCAGCAGCTTCCCTTCCCTGTTAACCCTCTAGTCCCCATGTAGCGGTGTGGTCTCATCATCTCCTGAGCGTGCTCACCCTGCAGCATCCCTGAGGCAGTGCAGTCTCACCCTCCCGCAGTGACGTGGGTGAGGCAGGTTTTACCGCCTGCCTACACCGGGGTTCTCAGCCTTTTTCTTTCTGCAGCCCCGCCCCCAACATGCTATAAAACCTCCACGGCCTGCCTGTGCCACAACAGCTGTTTTTCTGCACACATTCTGCAATAGATTAAAAGCCAGAGCTGGAGTTAGGGGGTAGCAAGCAGGGCAATTGCCCAATGCCCCATGCCACAGGGGCACCTGCAAAGCTAAGTTGCTCGGGCTTTGGCTTCAGCCCTATGCAGCAGGGTTCGAGTTCCAGCCCTGCATGGTGGGATTCAGGCTCTGGCATTCTTTCCTGGGCCCCAGCAACTCTTAACGCTGGCTCTGCTCTCTGGTTTATTTTGGCGGACCCCTTGAAACCTGCTTGTGACCACCCCGCCCCGGGGGTGGGGGCTCGGACCTCTGGTTGAGAACGACTGGCCTACACAAGTGGTTTTCAACCTTTTTTCATTTGTGGACCTTAAAAAATTTCAAATGGAGGTGCAGTCCCCTTTGGAAATTTTAGACATAGTCTGCGGACCACAGGTTGAAAAAAACCACTGGCCTACCCCTTAGCCTTTAGATCCATGGCTCAGAAGCTGAACACCTAAGAGTGCAGGTTGGATTTCTAACGGGAAGAGTCTTCTGTTTTTCCCCAAAGAAAACCAAATATACTTCCTACTAGGTTCTGAATCGTAGTTTTACTTTCCTTCCTCTGATTGCAAATATTAATTCTTATTTTGAGCATGCATTCCTCGCTGATTTGGATAGCATCCATAAACAGAGAGAGGCAGGGACAGAAATATTTGTATCTTTGCACACAGAAACTAGGATTTTTTCCTCTTCATTGTCTATGGCATCTAGACACCAAGGTGGTAGGTGCCTTAGAGATGGTAATTATATAAATCCCCAAACACAGTATTGTCTTAGAGACTAACAAATTTATTAGAGCATAAGCTTTCGTGGGCTACAGTCCACTTCTTCGGATGCATATAGAATGGAACATATATTGAGAAGATATATATACACACACATACAGAGAGCATGAACAGGTGGGAGTTCATGCTCTCTGTATGTGTGTATATATATCTCCTCAATATATGTTTCACTCTATATGCATCCGAAGAAGTGGGCTGTAGCCCACGAAAGCTTATGCTCTAATAAATTTGTTAGTCTCTAAGGTGCCACAAGTACTCCTGTTCTTTTTAACTATTTTTCAGAGGTTTGTGTAGAGTTTAAATGACTTGCCCAAGATCACACATCAATTCAATAAAAAAGATGGTAGAACCCAGAAATCCTGACTCTTAGTCACTAGACTGTATTTTCTTCTCCACATCAACAAATGTAACAAAATTTATTTTGTTCAGTGTCATCTGGAACACTAAAAGAACAATAAAAAGAATAAGAATAAAAAGAAAATACTGTACTAGTTTAACTGACTTGTTCTGACCCTCTCACCATAATATCCTCTGCAATCTGAGATGAGATTCACTAGCCATTATTTTTAAACCTTCCAACCCATGGCAATGATGTGCTTATCACAACAGTGGTAAATATATTTTATAAGACTTTCCAACTGCGTTTCAGTGCAGTTCCACTAATATACCTGACATTTCTAGTGCATTTGGAGAGGGATTTAATAGATTAAAGTTTCAAAGCCATGATGTAAAATATGGCTGAGTTGCCTGTAAAGAATAGGTGTTCAGGGGGGCATTTTATTGAGAGTATTTATTACTTGCACATCTCTATGTCATTGGTGGCATGGGAATTGTTCAGCTGTTTCACAGAATACAGAGGTATTTTGCTTGCAATGGAAGCAAAGAGGCACTGACCACGTTTTTGACTATACATCTTCACAGTGCTAGCACTGTCACATTCAAGAAACTGCACAGTGGCATAAGAAGGGACTCTCAGGCTACAGATGTTTTCTGTTATCTTCAGGGAGCACCTCCAATCTGTTTTATTTTGAAATCTGAAACCTCAAACGCATGCAAACTTGGCCTTGGGTTTGAAATTTGATCATTTACCAATCTCAGATTGCATTTGCAAAAGTTTGGTAAATATAGGTTGTGTTTGTTTGCCCATCCTGGAAGCCAGAAACAACTCTCTCACCTCAGCAGGCTTCGCATACTGCCCACAGCATTCACCCCCTTTCTCCAATATCCCCCAGGCATCCCCTTTCTTTTACCAGATGTCTTCAGGGGAGTTGGGACTTGCTGGAGGGGGTACAGTGGCTTGTTGGGAGCACAGAGTGGGAAGGCACTGGCAGAAGTGAAGCAACCTCAGGAAGTTCTGGATTGAGGATCAAATCTTCAGTCAATGTAAATTGGTGTAGCTCCATTGAAATCAACAGAGCCGTGTTGATTTATACCAGGGGAGGATCTAACCCTGAATCTCCAAGTGAAACTGCAAGGGTTGGTTTGCTTCCTGGTCATGTAAACCAGGATTGGTTTCCTAATCCCTTTTTAAATTGAACCCTGAAGAGCTTTGTACAGACCTAGCTATATGTGATATATAACTAACAACAAGCCCTAGGTATTATGAAATAGTAGAGAAACTATGAGCTCACGGAGCCTAGCAGGTGTGATTTTGTTACTATTGCCACTAATTGAGTGCATCTGTTTGGACAGTCTCACATGTATATGGGATCTCCTGGGCTACTATTAATAATAATCAATAATATGTTATCCCAAAGACAAAACAACTTCTTTACATGGTACTCCACTGAAGGACAGCCACATCTGGGAAGGGAGGGAGGCAGTTGGTGAAACTGGGAAATTTTGGCCAAAGATATTACAACAAATGCTTACTGTTACAGAAACTGCCTCAGGATCATTAGGACTTGATTTGCACACTAAGTGTACATGATTACACATGCAAAAATGTTCACACATCTGTTCACTTAGAATGAAAATGCTTTCTAAACCATAAGAGTAGTATCACTAGCCTGACACTATAACAACACAATTGAGTTAATCTCTTTCTGGTTACAGGGCCCGATCTTCAGTGCATGTAAATCTACATAGCTCCATGGACTTTGGTGGAGTTATACTGATTTACATCAGGTAGGCATCTGGTCTATTTTTCAAAGTGAATTTTCTATAGACAGAGCTAGTGTGGGCAGCTCTGCGGACAGCTCCAAACTGAATCATCTATATACATCCACCTTAACCTGAATGGACCACCTCTAAGTTTGAAAAAGTCCATTCCACCTATACGGCTCATTTATCCAATCTCCTTTCTGCTGAGACTGTGACAAGGATTAGTGCAAATTGTGATAATGCCATTTGTGATATGGTCAAGTGTCCACTAAGAAACCATTTAACAAATTTTTATCCTTTTAGCTAAGCTATTACAAGTCAGTATTTATGAAGTTTTCTATAAATCTGAGAAACTTGGGACCAGATTTGACAAGCTTCCTCATACTGAGAGCTATCTTACTGCACAATGACTAATTATGAAGTCAGTGGAGTTGCTTGTGAAGTAATGTTCATCTTCGCATGTGTGCAGGTGACAGAACAGGACCCTTCATAATCATCACTAGATCTCTTCCTCATTTTGCCTATTTAACAAACATTTATCTTCCATTACAGTTTAAAGATGAAAGTTAAAGAAGTATGGGCTGGATGAATGGACTATAAGATGGACAGAAAGCTGGCTAGATTGTCGGGCTCAACGGGTACTGATCAATGGATCCATGTCTAGTTGGCAGCCGGTATCAAGCAGAGTGCCCCAAGAATCGTCATTAATGATCTGGAGGATGGCATGGACTGCACTCTCAGCAAGTTTGCAGATGACACTAAACTGGGAGGAGTGGTAGATATACTGGAGGGTAGGGATAGGATACAGAGGGACCTAGACAAATTAGAGGATTGGGCCAAAAGAAACCTGATGAGGTTCAACAAGGACAAGTGCAGAGTCCTACACTTAGGACATAAGAAGCCCATTCACTGTTAAAGACTAGGGACCAAATGGCTAGGAAGCAGTTCTGCAGAAAAGGACCTAGGGGTTACAGTGGACGAGAAGTTGGCTAGGAGTCAACAGTGTGCCCTTGTTGCCAAGAAGGCTAACGGCATTTTGGGCTGTATAAGTAGGGGCATTGCCAGCAGATCGAGGGACGTTATCATTCCCCTCTATTTGACATTGGTGAGGCCTCATCTGGAGTACTGTGTCCAGTTTTGAGCCCCACACTACAAGAAGGATGTGGAAAAATTGGAAAGAGTCCAGCAGAGGGCAACAAAAATGATTAGGGGTCTGGAGCACATGATTTATGAAGAGAGGCTGAGGGAACTGGGATTGTTTAGTCTGCAGAAGAGAAGAACGAGAGGGGATTTGATAGCTGCTTTCAACTACCTGAAAGGGGGTTCCAAAGAGGATGGATCTAGACTGTTTTCAGTGGTACCAGATGACAGAACAAGGAGTAATGGTCTCAAGTTGCAGTGCGGGAGGTTTAGGTTGGATATTAGGAAAAACATTTTCACTAGGAGGGTGGTGAAGCACTGGAATGGTTACCTAGGGAGGTGGTGGAATCTCCTTCCTTAGAGGTTTTTAAGGTCAAGCTTGACAAAGCCCTGGCTGGGGTGATTTAGTTGGGAATTGGTCCTGTGTAAGGGTATGGACTCACCCCTGCGGTCCCCCCTACTGGTTGTCTCAGGGAATCAGCTCGACCCAGCCTCCGGAGCACCCTCTGCAGGCCGGTGATCCACCTTGTCACTTCTACTGGGCCCTGTGTCCCACCCAGGACCCCGGTGCCCCCTGCTCTGGGTGCTACCCCCTG